CGGGGGGAGGGGGGAGGCAGGCCGTCCTGTGGGCGCGGAGAGAAACAGGAGCAATTGATTGCCGTTTAGTTTGTCAGGGAGAGGGCTATGAGGGGAAGTTTAGTCCCTTTATAAGAAAGGGAGGGGGGAGGGGGGGCCCACCCCCACTCCGCCGCGTTTTAAGGGCGTAGCCGCCAGAGGCGAACCTAAAAACCCCCCCCCCCCCCACCACCACCACCCTCCCCCCCTCCCACCCACCCCCCTTCCGCGCAGGCGCTCGTCGGCAACGCCACCGCCCTCGCGGCCGCGATCGCAGAGTGGGCGGTCAACACCGTCGCCGAGCTCCTGGCGCCTGAAGAGCCGGTCGGCGGCGGCGAGGCGGGCGGCGAGGCGGGCGGCGCGGCGCTGTCTGAGCTCGCTGCCGCCACCGCAGCGAGCAGGGCGCGGCAGCAGGCGGCGGAGGCGGAGCTGGCGCGTTTGCGGACGGAGGAGGCGGAGCGGGCGCCGGCGGCGCAGGCGGAGCGGGCGGAGTCGGCGGGGCAGGCGGAGCGGGCGGGTGGCGGCGGCGGCGAGAGGAGCGAGGAGGAGGCCAAGGCGGCGTGGCTCGCGCGGATGCAGGCGCCGACGTGGGGGCGGGCGGAGCGCGAGGAGGCTGCCAAGCAGAGGTGGCTCGCCAGCCTCGAGGCGCCCGCGTGGCAGCAGCAGGGGCAGCAGGGGCAGCAGGGGCAGCAGGGGCAGCAGGGGCAGCAGGGGCAGCAGGGGCAGGGGCAGGGGCAGGGGCAGGCCGGAGCAGAGGAGGCCGGAGCAGAGGAGGCCTCGCCGGATAGCTCTGACTCGTTTGGCGAGCGCGCCGCGCTGCTCGCCTCGCTCGCCGCCGATGCGCTCTCCGGCGCGGCAAGGACGGCAGAGGTGGACTTTGCCGCCTACCGGGCGCTGCGGCGGAGCGGCAGGCTGGCCGCTGGGAACCGAGAGACGGGAGGGGGTGGGGCGGCTGGGCGAGTCACCGCTGGTCGTGTTGGCTGCACAGGCTGCCCACGCTGGCGGAGGAGGCGGCTGACCTCGCGCCCGCCCTCGCGCCCGCCCTCGCGCCGGTGCGGCGGGCGATCGGCGCCGCGGTCGGCGGCGGCGAGGACGGCGGCCGCCTGGCCGCGTTTGCGCAGCAGGATGCGCCCGAGGCGCAGCGCGTCACGCGGCTGCAGCAGCGGCAGCTCTCCGCGGCGCAACGGGAGCTTCGGTACCCCTCCCCCTCCCCCCCCCCCCCCTCTTCCCCCCCGTTGTGATGCACCATCCTGAAGCGGCGCTTCGAATGGGACAGGCTTGCCTCCGCCTTCGTCACTCGCGCCGCCAAGGACAGCTCGGACGCCGTCGCCCTTGGTGTGCTGCCTGCCGCTCGCGCGGCGGGGCGCGTGGCGGCGTCGCAGGCGGACGCCGCGCAGTCGGCCGGGAGAGGACACGTCCAGGACGCGCCCCTGACACGTGCCATCACAAACTTGCCACGCAGGCGGCCGCCGCGCTGCGTGTGCCAGGCGCCGAGGTGCGGCCGGCGCCGAGCAGTGCGGCGGTGGTGCGCGAGCTGGCGGCGGCGCTGAGGGACGAGTACGCCGCTTCGGCGGCGCAGGCGGCGCGTGGGTCGCCGTTTGCGCGGCAGCTGCAGCCGTTCGACGGTCTGACGTCGCCTCTCCGCGGCAGTGGCGAGGCGAGGGCCGCTCCGTCGCTCGCCCCAGGGGCCGTCTCCCCAGAGGCCCTCCCCTTGGAGGTGCCCCTCCCCTTGGAGGTGCCCCCCGTCGAGGAGGCGTACGGCGCGCCCTCCGCCGCACCCTCCGACGGGGCGCGCGGCGGAGGCTGGCGCGACTTGCGCGATGCGGCCACGCTTGCTAGAGGCGGCGGCGGCGCGGGGGGAGGGGCACCGCCGGTCGATGGGGCCGGCAGGCAGCAGTTCGACGTCGGGTTTGACCCGCGCGTCGTCGAAGCCGCCGTCAGTGGCGCGCTCAGTCGTGGCGGCGCGGCGCCTCTGAGCCGAACGCCAGGGCGTGTCGAGGAGGAGGAGGAGGAGGCGTTCGTGTTTGACGTTGCGGCGGTGGAGGTGGAGGACGAGGCCGAGTCGCAGCAGAAGAAGGCCCTCGCTCTAGCCGACGCGGCGCTCTTTGCCGCCGAGGCGCGCCCGGCCCGCACACTTGTGCCCACGGGACCATCCTCCAGAGGCCTTAGCAGCCGGCCTTCGCTTGCGGCGCTAGGTGCTCGCCGAGACGCTCGGGCGAGCGACCCGCCGCACGAAGCAGGAGCTGGAGGCGGAGGAGGAGCGAGAGTGGGAAGCGTTGCGCGCTTTCACGCCGGAGGAGGTGGCCGGTCGGCAGAGGGAGGAGGAGGCGTGGGCGGCACTGGTCGAGGCGGTGACGGAGGTGATCGAGCGGGAGTGAATGATGAATTGTCTGTGAAAGATATGGTACTGGGACGTAGCACGTACCTGTCACACCATGCCCGTATTTTGCACAAATTCACATTTGGGCAGCTGGGCACATCCACAACCACATCGCGCAGTTCGCACATACCCCGTACGACATACGGCTTTATGCCCCGCATCGCGGCATGTCGTGTAAAGTCGTACTGAACGTACGTACGGCTACCCACGGGTTAACGTACGGCCTACGCGCGGGGCGACATACGTCAGTATAAACTATTAGTAATCTCAAGCCGTACGGGGTGTGCATATGGAGCATGGAGCGCGGGGGGACGGAGGACACACCTACGGCTCGAATATCTCTGATTCCGGGGGTCCTCCGCGTGTGGACTGTGGTCGCTCCATCTCCGTCCCCGCACCCCGGGGGCAGTTATATTCGGCGCTTTCTTTTGTTTATGGGGAGCAGAAAGAACGAGACATCGCCGCGCGACGCTCCCTCGCTCCCTCGCGGCCTGCTCGCGGCCCGCCACACTGCTGAGGTCTCGGACCCTGCCTATCAGCCTCCGCGGGGCTCGGCTTCGCCCCGCGTAATATCTAATTACGGCAGTTCCGCGTGTTCCGTCCGTCCTTTTTCTCAAGACTCCTTTTATGAAGCAAGACGTAGACATCGCGACGCCTTCTCGCGGCCTGCCACACGCCGCCGAGGTCTCGGCGTGTCGGGCTCTCTGCCCCAGACACTTGTCGTTTCTGGTTGGTGTCTCTCCTTCAGACGCGGTCGGTCTCGCCTGCCTTCCCGGAGGCTACACAGTCTGGTTTTGCCACAAACTCATCGATAAACATAGCATATCCGTACACGAGAGAGAAGTGGCGCAAGTGCTCTCAGTGTCTCCGATGAGTGGACAGTCGATCAGTGAGGAGGCTCAGCGCGCCGGGGCGAACTCCAAAGACCGAAGAAGAGTAGGCCGACTCAAGATATGAAACCTGCCGGTGGAGCCTGCCAATGGCATCAACGTCGCGAAGGGAACAGTGGCACATGTGATGAACGATTTCGGCACCCCAGTGCAAGCTTGCCTGCCACGTCGGTCAGAGCCAGAGAGACGCAGAATTGAACCGGCTCACCAGTAGCCGTAGCCGTAGCCGTGGCCGTAGCGCTCGTAGTCCGGGCCGTAGTACGAGCCCGGGTTGTATGCCTTGCGCGACTTGTCAACTGCATCGAAGGCCGCCTTGTTGCCGTACCGCTTGTCCTGCGCCAGGACCACCTGCGCCTTGCAGTAGATCTTGCTCGCCTTGCCGTACCACGTGGCCTCCTTGTGCGGCAGCTTCTTGAGGTCGCCGTCGGTGAGCCGGTGGTAGCCCTTGGCATTGGACGCGGCCATGATCCCGCCGCCGGCCTTGACCGCGCATCGTAGCCCCTGCGCATCGTAGACGTACCGCGTCTTCTCCTTCTTGCGGTCGCAGAGAGCGCAGAGTGGAACGCCAAAGTCCGGATGGTCGGCGCACCGCCGCTGCCGGCAGTGGACCTGCGAGCGGGGAGAGGAGCACTTCAAGGGTAGGTGGAAGTGGAAGGGGAGAGGGACGGTGAGTCGTGGGCGCGCACGCAGACGCCATTGAGCCCGCGCATCATTGCGTCGAGGTGCGAGCCCTGTGGTGCGGCGACGGCGGAGATTAGGCTGCGGCTCATCCGAGTGCAGGTGGTTGAGCCCGACCATCTACACCTCCCTGACCTACTAGCATAAGTGTCTTCCCCTCCCCCTCGCACACAGGATTGACGCTGCTCTCGGCGCTCGCTCCCTCCTCGCCGCCGCGAGAGGACCAGGCGTGCCCGCGCGCCGCGGGGGCTCTGCAGACAGCCAGACGGCTCCGCGAGGTCGGACCGACTTTTTCAGACTGGACTATTCTGGGTACCAAGGGTATGTGCTGCTAGATCTCACTGAGCTGAGCTCATATCTGCCTTGTGCTTGCGGCAAGAGCCATATACACACGAGGACCGCAACGGCGCCGTAATCACAGAACAAAAAGAATGCACGGCCGCGCTGTCTGCCTCTCTCTCTCTCTCTCTCTCTCTCTCTGTGTGTGGTGTGTGTGTGTGTGTGTGTGTGTGTGTTCTTGTGTGTGTGTGCGTGTGTTAAGTGTAAATTACTCACACTCACGAACAACGGCGGGTTATCGTCAAGAGCGGAGTGCGCACACGATCACACCTCCATAACCCGCTCCAGTCTCTCACTCTCTCAGAGAAGGAAGCGCACAAAGCCTTGCTGGGCGAGGGCGAGGCAGATGCGCTCTTCGCACGCGGCGTCGTGGTTTGCGGTGTGCGCATCGTCAAAGTAGTGGATCCGCCCGCCAATCTCCCGGAAGTGGTCGAAGCCCAAAAGCGTCACGTGCTCAGCGGTGGCGGAGAGGATGTCGAGCGGCGGCGGCCGCGCCTCTTGCGGCCGCGAGTGCGGCGTCGGCGGCGGCGGCGCGGGGAGGGGCGGCGTGGAGGGCGAGCTGGGCCGCGGCGGCCTCGCTGGCGCCCAAGGAGCTGAGGGTGGCGACAACGGCGAGGGAGGGCGAGGCCAGGGGAGGGGCGGCGGCGTCGAGGGCGGCGTCGATTCCGGCGCCGCCTCCGCCCCAGCCAGGTCCGTCGCCACGCGCCACCGACGCTGGAGGTGCAGGTGCCACACAGTGAGCAGCCTGCGCGGCGGGCGTTCTATGTTTCCTTTCCATGTCTCTGCACTACAGAGAGTTGAAAGGGGACCATCGTGCTCGGAGGTTGAGGGGGAGAGGGGGGGGGGGGGGGGATGCCCTGTCGACGGCCATCGCCGCGGCCCGAAACGGAAGGCCTCCGTCACGCTGCGCGCTGACTCCTCCGGCAGGAAGGAGACGGCGGCGAGTGCGGCGGGCATCTCTGCAGCGAGCTCCTCCGTGACCTCCGCCCTCCGCCTGCACATAGGGAAAGGGAAAGGGAAAGGGTCACATGGGCGAGGGTGGGCTCTTTAGCCCGCATCTCCACGTCCGTAGAGGCCCCCCACGGCATTCAGAGTGCGAGGCTCGGTGCGCGTGTGTGAGCGGTGTGTAGAGCAGCCGTGTGCCGCCTCGGTGAGTACTATACCTCTGATAGTGCTGCTCTCCGAGGAAGAGGTACGGGATGGCGACGAGGACAGGCAGCCCCTCGCCGCCGTCCTCCTCCGCCGCCCAACGGTGCGGGTACTTGCGCAACAGCTCCACGCACCTGTGTGTGGAGGGGAGGAGGCGCAGGGAGGCTGCAGCGAGGCGGGCTCGAAAGAAGAGACAAGGGCGGACTCGAGACGAGAGAGAGCAGAGGGTGCGACGGGAGGATCGAGCGCTAGAGGCTGCGGCGCGCGTCCAGTCCGAGACGACCCACAGCGAGGTCCTGCTGCCGACGTCCCTCGCGAAGCCGTCGACCTCGTAGTCGTTGAATCGTAGCACGTGGCGAAAGGCGTCGACTGCGGCGCCCGCACCGCCGCCGAGGATCGACCGGCCGTTGCCCACGACGACAATTCCGTGCTCTCGGTCCTCGGCACGCTCCTGGAGGAGTACACACGATCTAAGGAGGCCCTCTGGTGAGACGGGATCCGAAAGGGAAGGCGCGTGTGTCGAGCAGTAGGCGCTATGCACTCTCGGCAATGCTCTCGGCGAGTCTCGACGGACCTCAGCGAGGGCGGCAGCAGCGGCCACGGCCGCCTCGCGCGAATACTTTGGGCGCCATCGCCCTCCAAACCATCGGAGCGCTGCCGGCAACCACGACGGCCCGGGTAGAGGGCGCACCTTGCTGCGTCGCACAAAGTCGGAAGCTTGCCGCCGCGTGAGAGCAGGGCCGCATCGCTGCAGCAGTGCGAGCAGCAGCTCGGCCTCATCCACATGATCCTCCTTGGCATCGTCGTCCACATGCTCCTTGGACGCTTCACCACCGGCCGATGGATGAGACTGGCCGACAAAGTGCCGCAGCATCGAAGGCGGCCGCGAATTTCTGGCTTGGCCGCGACAACCCTGAGTTTTGAGGAGGACTGAACCTAGCGCCGAAGAAAAAGAAAAAGAACGAGCCACCAGGAACAAAGCGCACTAGGTCACGCATGGCATCAGAAGTTTTGTCTCTGGGCCCCGAAAGGCATCTCTAGCAGCGTCGTTACACATGCCCCCTCCCCTCCTGGGCGCATGCGCCTCACGTCTCGCCAGAGCATAAGCCCTTGGCGTGTGGCGAGACGAGTTTTTCGCCATGCAGCGAGCAGCAAGCCGCCCGCCGCAACCAGCCGGAGGCCTCGCCGCGGCACTGGCTGCGCCGCGGTCCCGCACCCGTCGACGCAGCTCCCCCCGCGGAAGACCGCGCGTACGTAGCGACGCCTTGACGATCTCGAGATGAGCGCGCCTGAGGCTCGCCCACCTACTGCCCCTGAGAGTTGGTTACGAGTGGGATCAGCTCCCCCCCTTGGGATCACAGCGTCCACGACCTCACACCCAACATCGCAGGCGGGATCAGAAGGGGACTCCACACCGGACACCGCCCGGGTACAGACCCCCTACCCGTCGGATTGCACAGGGCCCCCTCGGAGCAGCCCATACACAATCACGCATCGGCAGAATTAGTGCCTGAGTCAGGCAGACAGCACAGACAAGGAGAGGAGAGGAGAGAGAGAGAGAGAGGAGAGAGGAGAGGGTGAGGGTGTGTGCACACGTGTGGAGAGGGAGGGTGTCTGTGGTGGGTTGTAGTCATACTACGTGGTTAGAACCACGCGCCCCTCAGGAGCTAAGGTAGAGCTGAGCGTCCAAGACGCCTCGGTGCCTCCCACCGGCGTGAAGACCATCCGGATCTACCCAGTGCGTCCTCCGGACGGGCTGGTCCCCGCGATGGCCCACGGTCCTCCGTCGCCTGGTTGAACCCCCTGCCTCCCGGTTGACCCCCACTCCTCGTAGTCCATCATGAAATAAACTCAAAGACCCACCACGCCTCCAGTCTCCACCTCCACCCGCGAGCCGCCACCGCTGCCGCCCGCCACGCCGCCCGCCGCGTCAGATTGCCGCGACGCGCGCTTCGAGTCGAGTCGGAGAGCCGCGCCGCACCAGCAGCAGCATCTGCACCACCACCAGCAGCAGCAGCACCACCACCACCACCAGAGAGAGAAGCGCACCTGCCACACACACACACACACACGATATGCTCATCCATGCAGGAGAGGCAGCAGGCACAGAGGAGATGACATGAGAGTGGCAGTTTTCTCTCCTTTAGAGGAGCCAGCAAAATCGCAAAAAGTGATAAAATACAAAATGGCAGGCACTATGTGAGCCCCCCCCCCCCCCACCCGACGCCGCCCCCCCTCGACACAGCTCACACACCGACACAAACACATATAAACACGCACAGGCACGTGCTGATAGGGACGCCGGGACGGTCCGAGACGCCCATATGGACGGTGATCGCCGACGACTGACGGTCCGCCTGAAGCCGGCCGGGATAATAGAGAGACCCAGCACGGGCGCACCGCTCACAGAGATACCAGAGCCGCGGCTCCGGCCCACTGGGCCTCTGAGTGCAGCCTCTCGTCGCCCGTGGAGAGGTTGCACGGGTGGGAGACCGGCCCATGTGCCGGGCTCGCGCCCGGTGGCGGCGGCTGCTGCGGTGACGCCTGGGGCTCCATGATGGCCTGCGAATGGTCCGCAGGCGGCGGCGGCGGCGGCTGGTGGTGGTACTGGCCAGCCTGCATTGGCATGTGCGGCAGCTGCTGCTGCGGTTGCTGCTGCGCGTGTACTGCCGTCTGTGGCGGTGGGGTCTGCGACTGCGGGTGGGGCGGCTGCTGCGGCTGGGGATGGGGATGGGGTTGCTGGGGCTGGGGCTGCGGCTGGGGGTGGGGGTGGGGCGGTTGCTGCGGCTGCGGCTGGGGCTGGGGCTGCGGCTGCGGCTGGGGCTGCGGCTGGGGCAGCGGCTGGGGCAGCGATGGATGCTGCGAGGGGGGCTGCTGCGGTGTTTGCGGCGAGGAGGGTAGTGATGCCGGGTGTGTCTGCTGCGGGTGTGTCTGCTGCATTGCCACCTGATGCAGCGGCGGCGGCATCTGGGATGCCATCTGTGGCGATGGCATCTGTGCGTGCTGCTGGTGGTAAGCGTGCTGCTGCTGCTGGTGCTCCGGGTGCTGGATAGGGTACATGAGCTGGGCCGCCTGCTGCATCTGCATCTGCGGCAGGCTGGGTGCTCCCGCTGCTCCGGGCGCGGCGTGCTGCATCTGCTGCATCGACTGCTGCATCTGCATTTGCGGGTTCATGAGCATCTGCATTTGTGGGGTCAGCTGCGTCTGCACCGGCACCGGCCCGTGGGGGGTCATTGGAATCGCAGGCGTGTAAGCAGCTTGTCCCGCGGAAAGCTGCTGCTGCAGCTGTGGCAGGTGGATGGCGGTCCCGTACGGCTGGGGCGGCGGGGGCTGCTGCGGCTGCATTGCATAATGCTGCGAGGCGAGGGCAAAGGAGATGGCGCGATCCATTCGCTCCTCCAGTGCTGGCGGCCCGCGCTTGCGGCCCACGCGCGGAATGCAAGGAATGCCGCGGTCCAGGCAGTTGGAGCAGGAGCCGCACTTGAGCATTACGCAGCGGACCCGCCTTTTCATGCACGCCACGCAAGCTGACCGGCAACGCTTCCTCTCCCCTGTGAGGGCGACGAGCAGGGCGGGGTCAGGCGACTGGCGCCGGGCGTCGGCGGCGCGTGCGGTGCCGAGCGGGCGCAGAGCTCACCGGACGGGTAGTACGACTCTTTCTCCACTGGCTCCAGTAGTTCTGCATGCGAGAGGCGCTCTTTCTCGTTCTGCCGCTGGTGGGGCACGACACTGTTCCTGTTGGCGGCCTCGCCACCGTCGAATGGGCCAGACTCAGACTCGGAGCTCCCGCTCAGCCTAGGACTGACTGCCGGCACGGGGGGCACAGGCTCTTGCGCAGACATAGCCTGTTGCTGCAAAGTCGGGGCACGGTTGAAGACGGGAAAACCAGGACATGAGCCGCGTTTTTGAGACTAGATATGCCGCACTTTTACTCGATTAGGCCACACGAATGCGCGTTATTGGGGACGGACGCTGTATCGATCAACAACTTTTCGAATATGTCGGACTTTCGGCGCAATAACGCGTGTTTGGCTTTGAGTGCAATAGCACCAGAACGGACGGGAAAACGGCCCGGTTATGGTTGTGAGAGTCGGTCGGCGCTGGCAAAACTCGAAAGGGGTTGCACGCGTGCTGCACACCGGGGGAGCAGGAGGGGGAGGGGAGAGGGGGGTAGAAGAGTGTATGAAGACAACGAAGAGAGAGAGGAGAGAGGGGACGGGGGAGAGATTAGCCGGGAGAGAGGTCGCTGCAAGGTGTTTCTTTCATTCATCCTGTTTTTCCAGTTGTGCTCGTGCTTTTTGATGATGTTGGTGAGATGCCTTTCGGTTTTCTCTTCATGTGCGAGGGGCGTCGTAAATTTCTCTGCAGGCATGGAGGAGGGCGGCTGCGTGACGGTCGTGACAGACCCTGCCGTTGGACGCTACCTGCGCGCGTCGCGTGCCATTCGGGCCGGAGAAGTGCTGCTCTCCGAGCGGCCCTCTGCGTGGTGGGTTGATCCGAGCTTCCGGCAGACCACGTGCGCACGCTGCCTCGCAGCGTGTGGCGATGCGCAGCAGCGAGAGGTGTGCCAGGCGTGCGGCGGCGCGGTTTGGTGCTCGGCCGCCTGCCGCACAGAGGACGCGGATCGCCACGCGGTGCTCGCGCCGTGGATCAAGGCGTCTGAGGCGTGGAGAAAGAAGCGAGCAGCGGCAGAGACGGCCGGCACAGGCCCGTGCAAAGGTGCTGCTGCGGAGGCGGAGTCGGAGGAGGCGGTCGGGGAGGAGGAGGCGACCGAGGACGCCTCGCTGCTCGCGTGCGCGGCCTCCGTGGCTGCACTCCACGCCTCTGACAGACACACCTTTGATCGCGTCTGGGCGATGCACGGTGACAGCTCTGGGATGACCGAGATCGCTCCGAGATGCCTCCGATAAGCCTCCGAGGCCTCCGATAAGTGCCGACGTCCCACGTGTACACGACTGCGCCTGCTCAACAGCGCCACCCCCTCCTTTTGTGCAGCTCCGCCGCTGACCTCGCGCGAGGAAGAACGTTGCTCTGCGCTCGCCTCGTGGTGCGAGCAGGCGGCGCTGTCCGCCGCCATGCCGCTGGGCGAGCTCTTCCTTGGTCTGCTGCTGCCCGACAGCCAGCTTGCAACGAGTCGGCGATGCTTGGAATGATTAGGCGACCTCCTCCGAGGCTGCTGCGCCCGCGACCGCGCTAACAGCCTCGCCCTCACGTCGCTCGGCGGGTGCGTCGAGGAGGCGCGCGAGCACCGGCCGCACGGGTGCGCGCCTCCCCGCCCGCCCGCGACAGAGCCGCTGCCACCCAGCGTCGCGTCGATTCCTGCGGCGTCGAGAGGTTGCCGCCTACCCGCCCGTGCAGAGCCGCCTACCGCACACACGCCGCCCGCCCGCCCACGCGCAGGTATGCCCTCTATCCGACCCTCGCGCTCGCCAACCACTCCTGCCTCCCCACCGCCGCGCGCGTCGACGCCTTCGTCGCCACCGGGCCACGACCGAGGGAGGGCGGCGGCGGCGAGGGCGGCGGCGGCGAGGGCGGCGAGGGCGGCGGCGGCGAGGGCGGCGCGGCAGCCGCGGCCGCCGCCGACGGCGCCGTCGCCCCGTCGCTCCGAGCGCCCGCCTCGCTCGCGACGGAGTACGTTACCCTGCAGGGTCTCGCGGCGGGGGACGAGGCGCGCGCCCGCTCCGCACCCCCTGGCGCGACCTCGGCGCCACCTCGGCGCGAATCTAGATCCCGGCGCGACCTCGGCCGCGCAGGTCTCGATCTCGTACGTACCGCTCGACGTGATGGTGGCGCCGCGGCGCGCCCGGCTGCGCGACGAGTACGGATTCGAGTGCGTCTGCGAGCGGTGCGCAGTCGAACTGGAGGGCGACGAGGGCGACGAGGGCGGCGAGGGCGGCGAGGGCGGCGAGGAGTCGGGCGGCGGCGGCGTCGATCTCGCGTACGTCAACATCTTCGTGCTCAAGTACTGCTGCGGCGTGTGCTCCGGCACCCTCGCGCCGCGCACTCGTCCACCGCCGGCGGGCGAGGGAGGGGCGGCGGACGAGGCAGGGGCGGCGGGCGAGACGACTCCCGGGGTGTGCAACCGGTGCGGCGGCGAGCAGTCGGAGGAGGAGTTTGTCGCGCGGGTGCAGCGCGCAATGGAGGGCGAGGAGGGCGAGGAGGGCGAGGAGGGCGGCGAGGAGGAGGAGGAGGAGGGGGAGGGGGAGGGGGAGGGTGGCGAAACCGAGGCGATGGCCGCTGGCTGCGGCAACTGGCAGCCTCTGGGCCGTTTTGGCAAGCGCTTGAGGGAGTAGGCTGCCCCCGCGCGACAGCTAGTGCGAGAGAGGAAAGGGATTGCTGCATGCTGGCGGGACTAGATTCGGACTTTCTCTAGGACTGTTTCGCGTCGTCATCACCTTCCCTAAAACTTCTTTTTGCCGCCGCGCCGCAGCCTGGAGCCGCAAGCGAGCGTCGAGCGACGCCGCGCGACTAAAGCCGTACGGGGGTTATATACTAGCTACTTTACGACGGCTCCAGGAGACCAGGAGACCAGGCGAGTGGAGAGCGGCCCCCACACCCACCCCCGCGCTGACAAACAAATCTCTCTCTCTCTCTCCCGCGCTCGCCTCGGCCTCGCAGACTAAAACACCCCTTCGGTTGCTCCGCAGGCGCAAACAGGGTGTCGACCTTGCAGAGTCGCGGTGTCGCGCTCCAGCGGAAATGCTGCTAAGCCGCCGTCCCTTGCACGAGCGAAAAGAAAACGGTGCGATCGACGAAATGCCGCTGCTCAGCGCGAGAACTTCACTCTGTTCACTTCGAAGGGCGCGCAACTCAAGCATATGGCGCCTGACAGTGTACGTGCGTTTAGGGTTTAGCTACTAGGGGGTTGCATCAGAGGGGGGGGGGGTCTGAGGCAAGGGGGCCCAGATCTGCTCGTCTCAGAGGGTACCTCTGTGCCAAGAGAGGCCATCCACGAGCGGCTCAGAGGGTACCTGGGCCGACCCTCTGAAGGCCTGTGCCCCCAAGCCAACCTCTCTCGGCGCAGCCTCTGAGGCTACGGGGACCCTCTGAGACGCCAAGGCAAGCCCCGCGAGGCCGCTCCTCAGAGGGAGTTTTCAGCGGTATTTCAAGTCTGTCGAGTGTCGTGATCCCCCACCAAGCAGCGAATGCCCCCCCCCCAGCAGGCCCAGCTTCCATTGGTTTCGGATACCTCAAGTTCGAGTTCACTAGGACGCCGCGGCGCCTCATGGCCAAGCTGGAGCAGGGGGCGGATGTGGAGATCATTACCTCCTCCTCGGGCGGCCGCTCCAAGCACATCCTCACTCAAGTTGACGGGTCGGCGGCGCCGCTGGCCGCGCGAAGCTGTCGCACGCGCAGGGCTCGGCGCGGGCGCTGTGGGCGAGCCTGCAGCAGCAGCAAGCGTGTGTGGTGCCGGGCGCTCGAAGCGTATAGAATAGCGCCTTAGTCAATGCTCGCTGCTTCCGCCCCCTCCCCGCCCTCCCTGGTCAGCGCCGTTCGTGGAGGGCTAGGCGCTCCGGCCTCCGCCCGGGGCTCTCGCCTCTGTCTGCCGAGAGGGGGCTACCTGAGCCCTGGTGTCGAGGTGTCGAGGCCCGGTGTCGAGGGTGTCGAGTTGCTGTCGAGGGGTAGAGGTGTCGAGGCCTGTCGAGGCCTGTCGAGGCCTGTCGAGGCCTGTCGAGGCTGGTACCATGCTTGCCAGTGTCGAGGGGTGTCGAGGGGTGTCGAGGGGTGTCGAGGGTGTCGAGCGTGTCGAGCGGGTGTCGAGTGTTGTCAAGAGGCGTCTGAGGTGTCGAGGTGTCCAAGGTGGCAGGATGCAAGTTGCAGCCCATCAACAAAACTTGGGCCGCAGTTGCAAAGCTGTTTCATCCCTTAGTTGCAGCCTCTCAGTTGCACCCCTGTTGATGTAGCACAACCTCAGCACAACCAGTATGCTCTCTGTGGACATTTGAGGACATCAAGTGCCGGGAGTCATTGCCACTGTGCACTGAGCCGCAACTTGACCTAGAACTTTTGAGAGGCTGCAACGGAGGGATAAAAGTACTGCCAGCCAAGTATTGCTGCTGCAACCCTGATTTTCTAACTCTGTGACTCCAAATGGGTCTACGTCTCTGCTGTGTTAGATCATCAGAGGTGTCGAGGTGGTGTCGAGCGGTGTCGAGCGGTGTCGAGCGGTGTCGAGCGGTGTCGAGGTGTCGAGTTTGGCACCTTGACACCGGCGAGCATGGACCAGCCTAGATGGTGTCGAGGGGTGTCGAGGGTGTCGAGTTGACATGGGGTGTCGAGGTGTCGAGTTTGGTGTCGAGGTTTGGTGTCGAGGTGTCGAGGCCAGGGCTCAGGGGGCTACCCTCTGAGGTCAACGCCCTCTGTGCCGCGCCAAGACAGACCCTCGGCCGGGGACCCTCTGAGGCCAAAATCAGCCAAGAGAGGCCACAGAGGCGACACAGAGTCAGAGTCAAACCCTCTGTGCCGCCAAGCCAGGGGTCCGACCCCTCCTCACAGAGGGGGGTCTGAGGCCTCAGAGCGTCCAAAAGAAAGAAAACAGACAACCCAAGGGAGGGGTGGGAGGACGGCACGCCGCCACCACACAGGAATTTTAAGGAGAGGAGTGTGGTGCTAGGAAGCCGTCGCCCACCCTAACCCTTGGTCGAGGCCTGTCGAGGCCTGTCGAGGCCTGTCGAGGCCTGTCGAGGCTGGGACCATGCTTGTCCGTGTCGAGGTGTCGAGGAGTGAGTGGTGTCGAGAGTGTCGAGGGTGTCGAGCGTGTCGAGCGGGTGTCGAGTGTTGTCAAGAGGCGTCTGAGGTGTCGAGGTGTCCAAGGTGGCAGGATGCAGTTGCAGCCCATCAACAAAACTTGGGCAGCAATTGCAAAGCTGTTTCATCCCTTAGTTGTAGCCTCTCAGTTGCACCCCTGTTGATGTAGCACAACCTCAGCACAACCAGTATGCTCTGTGGACATTTGAGGACATCAAGCTTATTGCCAGGATTCATTGCCACTGCACAAGGTGCTGTGCAGGCGCAGCACCTAAGGCTATAGCACACCCCATGCAGCAGCGTCGCCGCTGCATCGTCGTCGCCGCTGCAGCGTTGCCGGCGCACAAAGCGCAACTGACAACAGCGATCATGGCCACAGGCTGGTGCCATGAGTCAGTGGACATTGCCACTGCACAAGGTGCTGTCCAGCAGCTAAGGGCTATAGTGCCCCATCGCAGCAGCGTCGCCGCCGCTGCCAGCGTCGCCGTTGGTTGCAGCGTCGCCAGTGCACAAAGCGCAATGGACCACAGGTCCGCACTCATGGCACAAGCTCACTGGTGTGAGGATTCATTGCCACTGTACCACTGTACAAGGTGCTGTGCAGCACCTGAGGATGGGGGCACAGCGCGACATGGAGAGGGGCTACGCAGGATCATCCACAGGATCACCCACGACGGGAACATTCCTTTTAGCGGCGCGCCGTGAATGAATCAGCCCCGTCGCCGTCTATGCCATCAGCCCCTCCGCCCCCTCGCCCACGCCCTCACCCCCGCCGCCATCTCACCCTCCGACTTCGGCCTCCGCCTCTGCCGCCGCCCTCTCGCCGCCGCCCTTGTCGCCCCCTCTCCCGGCCCGCCGCCGCCCTCGCCTCCGCCGCCGTCCGGCACTCCGGCTCGCATGCCACCGCTCTTGCTCTCGCCTCCAGCTACCCCGCCGCCCTCACCACCGCTGTCGCCGCCACCGTCGGTTGTCGCCGCCGCCGCCGCCGCCGCCACTGCTGCGGCCGCCACCCTTGCCCCCGCCACCATTTTTGCCGCCCCGGCCAGTCATTGGCACCACCTTTGCCGCCACCCTGGCCGCCACCTTTGCAGGCGCTTTTCCCACCGGTGGCGTGGCCCCCCCCCCCCCCCCCTAGTCAGAAGAAAGTGAAAAAAATTTACAACAAAACTTCCTATCCACAACACTGGCGACTGGGCACGGGACTGTGGCGCACACACTGGCACTAACACAGGAAGAATTTTGAACACTGGCAAACAGGGATGGGAAGAGGACAGAGTCCCCACCTTGCTCCTTGCGGAACAAGCAAGCAAGGGGCTTGGGCGGATGCCATTTGGGTGGGGGGTGCGGGGGCCACAGCGCGACACAAAGAGGGGGTGGGCAGGATCACCCACACAGGACAGAGGGAGAAAAAATGTCTTGGAAGGACGACGGGCAGCCCAACGTCAAATTTGGAGCACTTGGAGTGCAGTCGGCAACCTCACATCCAGGGCCGGGGAGCTGAGAAGCGCACCCAGCGGGCCGGATGATCGGGCGGGATCGGGTTGCGGGCAAGAGAGCCCTAGCCCTGGGGGGTGCGCGTTCGCAGGGAAAGGGCCATAAAGTAAACACGGGTCTCCGAGGGTTAGCTCCGCGCTCCAGGTTTCCCCTACCTAGCAGCAGAACGCCCCCTCTACTCGGAGCTATACACTCGACACGGACTCGACGCCCACCCACACCCGGCGCCTCACCACTCCGGACCCCTCTTCGTGGTCTCCCAACTTTCACTCCGGGGCGTCTTCCCCCACGTCACGGTCCAAATTCTTTTGCCGCCAAAATTCTTTTGGCGGCCTTGAAACGACGAGAGACCTCGGGGCGGGCCGGCGTCCGCCTCTCCACGCGCTGCTGGTGCGCAGCGTGCGCCGTTCTGCACTCGGGCACACCACCGCTCCACTCTCCGCTCTCCTCCAGCCGCACAGAGCCCAACCAGACCCCCCGACGGTCGGTGTTGAGCGTCGTTGAGCAGTGCCACGAGAGGCAGCAGCGTCTCGCCCGTGTGCCACAGCCGTGTGTGAGTTGCGATGGGAGCCAGCTAGCCTCCCGACCGGCCTCCCGCGCACACTCGCACTTGGCAGCCTCGAGCCTCACCACGCCCGCTGCACACTGCCTCAGGCACCTTCGCTCCTGCCACCACGCCGCCGCTCCAGTGCTCCTGCCACTGCCGCAGCCCTCCGCGTCGCGTTTCCGCCACCCTTTGACCGAGGCCGTGCGCTAGGCAGGCGTGCAGCTACAGGTGCGCAGCGGCGCGCGGCGCACCACCGCCGCGCTCTCACTCCTCATCCCGGCCAGCTCTCCCCTCTTTCCGCCCCGCAGCTCCCCCGTCACCTCGCGATATCTCCCTCCCTCCCTCCCTCCCTCTCTCGGAGCCTCTCGGCAGGCCTCCGTCCCTCCGCCCCGCCCCTTCCCCCGCCGACCGCGCACCGCGCCATCCCCGCCGCCGTCGGCCTCACACCAGGTCTCATCGGCGCTCTCTTGCGTAGGTTGCGCGCCGCTGCAGGGCGGGCTGCGCGGCTCGTCGCTCGTGCGTGAGGCGCGGCCGCGGCGCTCTCGCCTCTGCTGAGGCGCGCTAGCTGCTCGCCTCGCCGCTCTCCCCCCTCTCTCGCACCTCTCTCCGCACTCTTCCCATTCGCGCCACGCCGCGGCATCGCCACCGCACCGCCCTCTCTCGCCCTCACTGCGCGCTCCTTACCTCGGGATATCTCCCTCCCTCCCTCCCTCCCTCTCTCGGAGCCTCTCGGCAGGCCTCCGTCCCTCCGCCCCGCCCCTTCCCCCGCCGACCGCGCACCGCGCCATCCCCGCCGCCGTCGGCCTCACACCAGGTCTCATCGGCGCTCTCTTGCGTAGGTTGCGCGCCGCTGCAGGGCGGGCTGCGCGGCTCGTCGCTCATGCGTGAGGCGCGGCCGCGGCGCTCTCGCCTCTGCTGAGGCGCGCTAGCTGCTCGCCTCGCCGCTCTCCCCCCTCTCTCGCACTCCCCTCCGCACTCTTCCCATTCGCGCCACGCCGCGGCGTCGCCACCGCACCGCCCTCTCTCGCCCTCACTGCGCGCTCCTCACCTCGCGATATCTCCCTCCCTCCCTCCCTCCCTCTCTCGGAGCCTCTCGGCAGGCCTCCGTCCCTCCGCCCCGCCCCTTCCTCCGCCGACCGCGCACCGCGCCATCCCCGCCGCCGTCGGCCTCACACCAGGTCTCGTCGGCGCTCTCTGCCGTAGGTTGCGCGCCGCTGCAGGGCGGGCTGCGCCGCTCGTCGCTCGTGCGTCAGGCGCGGCCGCGGCGCTCTCGCCTCTGCTGAGGCGCGCTATCTGCTCGCCTCGCCGCTCTCCCCCCTCTCTCGCACCTCTCTCCGCACTCTTCGGCGGCAGCCCCGCAGGCTCGGGTCGCTGCAACCTCGAGTCGGGTTGGAGCGGCTGGGCGGCGCGGGGGCCAGCGTCGGCGGCGCCGCCCCGCCGCCGCCTCGACTCCTCCTCCTCCTCCGTCGCTGTCTACATCTTTCGACGGCATGCGCCGCCTCGCAGGGCGCGTCCAGAGCAGCTCGGGCGGCGCTGCTGCGGCGGGGGCGGATGGCGCGGTCGCCGCGCCGCTCATCGGTGAGCCGGCGCTCCCGCGCGGCGCTCCGGCGGCCGGCGGCGTGCCTCGCCGCTGCGGAGGGCGTTGTCGTCGCGAGGGGCGGGCCCACGGCGGCGGAGGCGCTGCGCTGACGGCCGCTGACGGCGGCGGTGAGGGCCCAAGCGCCGGCCGAAGAAGCGTTGCCGCGATTGCCGTGGCGTGCCGCCTGGCGGGCCCGGCGAGCGGTCCCCGCCGGTCGGGGCTGCCAGCGCTGCACGGTGCGAGCCGCAACTCCCGCCCCCCGCCACCTCTCGCCCCTCCCCCAGCCCTCTCCCTCGGCCCCGCCTCTCGCCCCGCCCGGGACTCTCCCCACGCCGCCTCTCCGCCACCCGCCAGCCATCCCCGCCCCCGCCACCTCGGCCCTAGCGCACGCGCACCCGCACGCGTCCCTGCCGCAGACTGGCGCGGCGACAAGGCGATCGAGGCCGAGCATATGCGCTGGAGGCGACGGCCTCGACTTGCGCGCGATCGGCGCCTCGCTCCTCTCGGCTCGGCAACGATACGCGGCGCGCCAGCGTCGGCCCGCTCAAGGCTGCCCCGCACACACCCCTCTCGCCGTCGCCTCCTCTCTCCTTCCCCCACCATCCTCAGGAGCCGCAACCACGGCGCAGTCGACCTCGAGGGCGCGGACGCGCTGGGGGGGGCTCATATCGTGCTTGTGTGTTGATGGATGGGACTCTATGCTGACGGCGGACCTGCGGCCTGTTTAGAGCCGTACCGCGACTGTGTATATTATTTTGGCTCGGGCATTT